CTGCAATGATGAGCTCAAGTATAGCAGGGATTGTGGGGCTGGTGCGGGATCGGGCAGTGTTTCGTTCTGCTGTGCATGGGGTCGCTATGAGTCAGAAACGACTCAACGGCACTTAACAACAACAACAACAAGGCATGAACATATATAAGGTTGGCAGATGATATTTCTACATACGTATTTGTATGTCCAAATATAAAAATATAATAAGTTAACAAGGGGCAAAGTTGTGATAACTTCTTGTCCACAGCCAACCACCCTGAGGGAGTGAGTAGTTGTATCTGTGGGTTGGGAACCATGGTCACAGGGGAGATCAAGCTCAACTGGCATAACATATTACACAAAAACATTGTTCTACATCCTACTTTGGTGAGTAGTGACTGGGGTCTTAAAAACATCCAAGTGGATATCTAAGATGCAACAATGGGTCTCTCTTCACCCAGAGCAAAGAAGAATGAAGAAAACAAAAGATGCATGGAAACAATTAGTCCAAGTGACTAGGAGACCATGTGATCCTTAGCTTCAATGACCTTGAGACCAGAAGAACTAGATGGTGCCTGCCTACCACTGTCAACCACTTGGAAAGAGATCAGTGCAGGAGATCCTGGATAGAGTGGGAGAACAATGTGGAACAAAACTCAAAATCACTGAAAAAAAGACCAGGTTTACTTGTCTGATAGAGTCTGGTGAGACCCTCAAGACTATGGCCTCTAGTTATCCTTCAGGCCTGGCATTGAATTCACTCCTGTGGCTTCCAGCCAAACAATGGACAGACGTATAGGATGAACATTTACATCAGGTAAATACATTCCTTGGAATGATCGTGGGAGAACAAGGGCAGTGTTTGCACAGGGAGATAGTTCAGGGTGTGGGCTAGGACAGTAATGTTTAGGAAGGAAGGACAGCAGGGAAGAGGTAACTATAGGGAGGAAGTGGGAAGAAAGCTGTTACGTTGTGGGGAATTGCAGTCAATGTGATGAAACAAAATGTGTATGAACTTCTGTATGGAAAATGAATTTGCTCTGTAAACTTTCACCCAATCACAATAAAAATTTAAAAAACAAAAACACTTATCCTCCTTAACTTCTGGTTCTGGAACAGTCCTGACATTTCCCTCAGTTACCTTGGCTCTTGGCTTCCAAATCTTTTCTTTGTTGGTTCTCCTTTGATTCTTATATCTGAGCTGTTGTCAAGATACTGTTAGGTTTCTGTGGCCAGTCTTCACTCTGCTCCTCTTTTATGCTGATGAAGTTTTATAATTATTCTTCATCCTATTCTGACTACTTGGCCTTAAGATTCTGCATTCTGTTTCCAGGTTTTCTTTTTCAATCTTCTCTCCAAATATCCTCCCCGCCCCTGCCAGAACCCTTCGGTCAAGCCGACTTGGTCCATTTGGTCAGTTGTCTGAGCATGTCTTGGGCTTGACTATTTCTCTGCCATCCTAGAGTGCCATCACAACTCTTGCTTGGTAGGACTTGCTGTTGAGGTGGATCAGTGCCCCAGTCATGCTTACAAAGGGCAGTCTTCCATCTCATAGAGGTCCCACTGACCTGGTAGAAATATGGTCTTTTTCTTCTCAGACCAGAGCTCAGTGGACAGTCCCTCTCCTACACACTCACCTGATCCTTAACACTGCTGGGAGGAGAGTTCTTTGAGCTCTCCAGTGCATGTCTTTGACCTTCTGAGCATGTACTTGCCCCTGGCCCTCATTTTCATCAGGAAATTGGATTGCATGGGCTCCCAATCCCCTTCTAAAATGTGACTCCTGACTCCCTTTTGGAAATTTGTGGCATTGAGCCAAGAGGAGAGTAACTTGAGAAATCTCAGGGCTTCAGTAGACAGCACCTTTCTTTCTAACAGAGGAAGGGTTAGGTGGAAGTCAAAAAGCTCCCTAATGGAGAAGCCTCTATGGGAAAGGAGATGCTCATCAAATCCACACTTAGAGTGACTGTGGGCAAGGGGCCACCACCTCTTCTTGACCCTGACTTCTTTTCCACTCCTCTGTGTGATGTGGTGGGGTCATCCTCCCACATAGTCCTTCCAACAATTAGAGTAAAAGTGACTGTGATTCCGTTTTCTAGGTCAAGAGTACTGTCTTCTGAACACTTGTTAAAAGAGAGCTCTCAGCCTCAGAAGGTAAGAAAATCATCACAGCTAATAAAGTGAAGTGGCATTCCAGAGCTGCATAAAACATTGCTCACCAGTGTAGGAGGAGGTTGATCTCTGCCCCAGGGGTAGCAAGTGTTCATAGGGCCAGGTAGGTGAGTAAGTGTGCACTGAAGTCTTCTGCTTTTTGCTCTGAAAGCATGACCTGGGCCAAATGGAACAAATCGGAGGCTACCATTTTGCAGTCTCTACACTGCCTGTGCATAATTTTGTCCAGCCGAGTTGTAATAACAGTGGAACGGATCATATGGATTATTATCAAGCCAGATGTGTACTGAGTGTCTCTTGTGTGGGTAGGGGCAGAGGATATAATTAATATAAGTCAAGATAAATACTGCCCTTGCCTTCAAAGAGCTTACTATGGGACAGGGCATAATAATAATAAGAGCTATCACTTATTGTAAGGAGCTCTGGTGGCATAGTTGCTAAAGCATTTTAGCTACTAACCAGAGGGTCAGTGGTTCGAACCTACCTGCAGCTCCATGGAAGAATGATGAGGCAGTCTGCTTCTGTAAAGATTTACAACCTTGGAAACCCAATGGGGGTCACTGAGTTAGAATGAACTCAATGGTAGTGATTTTTTTTTTTTTTTTTTTTTTTAAATCAGTTTTTGTGTAACTACACACAGATCCAACTACTCACTCCCTCAGGGTGGTTGGCTGTGGATAAGAAGTTGTCACAACTTTGCCCCTTGTTAGCTCTATTATGCAGAGACATTACCTTTATTTAGGCCCACAACCCTGCAAGGTGGATATTGTGGAGCTCTATATTGCACATGAGAAACTGTGGCTCAGAGAAGTGATGCCATATGCCCAAGAAAAAATACATTGTATGTGGGAGAGCCAGGCAGAATTATAACCCAGAGCTCTGGAACTCTACAGCTCTGGGACCTCACACTGTGCTGTCTACACATTTGGAGAGACATGCACAATTTCTATGATGTACAGTGGCAGGTTTGAACAAAGATCTGAGAGTCTGGGAGCATGGAGGAGAAAGTTATAACTCTTACCTTAAAGTTATGGAAAAGCTTCTAGGAGAAGGTGCTATTTGAATTGGGCTTCAAAGGATGAATAGGAGTTCACTGCAGGGGAAGATAAGCTATATCATATATAGGCAACAATGTGAGTAAATGGAAAAATGGCTGCTGTGTTTGGAGCTGGTGAAAAGCAGTTGGTGTGCCTGGAACGTGATGTGTGCAAGACAGGGCAGCTAGATTGTGAAGGGCTTTGAAAGCCATGCTCAGGAGTTGGGGATTAGAGGGAGTAGCCACAGCAAGTGTCAGAGCTGAGTAATGCCACTATCAGATATACCTTCTAGAAAGATGACTGGTGACAGTGTTGGTTGGAGGTCCCAGTTAGAGGAAGTCATTGTATTTATCTCAGCAAAAGACCAGGGTTTGGGCTGGGGAAGGGGTATGGGAAAGAGTTTAGATGTAGGAGGTGGATTATGGTAACAATCAACAGGGCTTGTTCATGGAAAGGAGGGAGAAGGAAAAGCCAAGACGCTGCTGAGATTTCTAATTTGGAGACCTGAATGGGTGGCGAAGCATTAACTAGTTCATCTGCTGGGCTCCATGAAGGCAGACTGTCTCCACTTTGTTCACTGTTGTGTCTGTAGTGCCTGGCAGTCTATAAATGTAGTAGCAATGAATGAATGAAGGTTCACAGCACGTGTGCTCTTTAGGTCAGGTCAGGGTGGGGAGAGAGAACAGTTCCTCCCCCACCTTGCCTTCTGGCTTCGTCAACTCAGTACTCAGGGCCCAAACAGTGCATCTCAGTGAGCAACACTGCCTGTTTATCATTCAGTGGAATACTTGGTCATTTTATAATCCAAGCTTTAAGTCTTTTGGGGGAGACACCCTTTGGTGACCTGCGTCTTTTGTGACCTGAAGCATTAGTACTGTCAAAATGAGTCACCCGTGGAGCTTAGAAAGGAAGAAGCATTATTGAGAGTTGAGGGCTTTTAGAGGGAGCTGGAAACTGAAGTGAACTGGGAAGGATGATCAGAAATCGGAAGCTGAGGGAGAATTGCTGGTAGGGGAGTCTGTGTGTTTTGATGTGTGTGTGTGTAGGTGGGGTACTGGGGCAGCTGATCTGACTCCGAGTGTCTGGGCTGGTCAGGATCAGATCAAATTGGCTGGGTGAGATGGAGCTGGATTCCTTGGAGTCATGAGTTCTGGCCATTGAAAATTGGAAACAATACATATAGTGACTGACTAGAAGCTCCATTAGAGTTCTGTTATGTTTAATGAAGACCTTGGCTGTATCCCATGACCTTGCTGAGCCTCTGTAGTAGCATCTGTAAATGGAGAACAAAGATTAACTTTCCAAGGTTAGGAGAAGCAGTCTAGGTTTTTCTTGATCCTCCTAAAAGTGGTTATGAATTATCTGTACCAGTGAATAACACCGTACGACTACACACCCTGTCCTTCTCTGAAGAAGAGGTGCTGAAAAATGTTCAACTCGGGAAGTTAACTCTCAGTCCCTGGTTTTGTTGTTATCTTTGCTCCAGTTGCACACCCAAGACCAGTCCCAGAAGGGCAAGGAGGCCCTTAACTCCCTGACACCATCCACCACCCCTGCCCAGATAACTGACTTCCAAATTGGGTCTGAGCTCTTCGCCGAGATACAACTGTCTGAGATGAAGAAGATATTTAAGGAGGATGTTGACATGACTGGAGGTAATCTACGCTGTGGGCTCACTCTCTGTGGCTCCTGCAGAGGGAAGAACTCTGCACCTGGGCAGAGAATTCAGACTTGACAAACCTTTATTGATTTGTTTTAATCATTATGTAATTAATGTAACTATATTGGAGGCTACTTGAGATCTAGGAAAAGAAAACACTCAAATGTAACCACCGTTAGCAATTGGGCATAATTTCTTCCGAAAAAGTTCCTGTGTATGGTTTATTATCTATTGCTGTATGACAGTGTTTCTACAAACGTAGTGGCTTAAAACAACACGTGTTTATCATCTCACAGTTTCTAGGGATCAGGAGTCTGGACATGGCTTCATGTGGGCCTGTGCACTGGGTCTTATAAGGCACAATCAAGGTGTCAAGCAGGGCTGTGGCAGGCTCCTTGGCTTGGTGGCAGAAATCCTCCTTCCCAGGATCCGATTGCTCCTGTAGTGTTAAGTCCTCCAATCCTGGCCATTCTCCCAGCATCTCCTCAGAAACTGGCTACTCTCACTGGCTCATCCACACACCCTAGTTTATTTCCAGCCTTCCAGAAAGTTCCCTCCTGCCTCTTCTGAGTCAGTAACCCTCTTCCCAATATTTTGAGAGCTGTTAATTAATCATTTGGCTTGAGATGAATAAACTTACGCTTGTGAAAGTAAAAGGAGCTCTTGTGTGGTGGTTAAAGTGTTTGGCTGCTAATCAAAAGGTTGGCAGTTCAAACCCACAGGCTGCTCTGTGGGAGAAAGATGAGCCAGTCTACTTTCATAAAGAATTGCGGCTTTGGAAACCCTATGTGGCAGTTCTACTCTGTCCTACATGGTTGCCATGAGGCAGAATCGACTTGACGGCAGAGAATTTGATTTTTTGTTTTGTTTTGTTTTGGAGAGGTGATGAGCAGGGGAACTGGCTAGCCTCCACAGTGCACATTGCCTTTCCAAAATACCTTTGTGTCTCTTTTCTTGTTATTTAAAAAAAAGAAAGTGAGTTTATAAGAAGAAGTATATTAATATCACAGTAAACCATATGTACAGTTTCTTAAACTCTTGTGAAAGGACTGCATTCTTACACTGCATTCAAGAGAAGCTTGTACATTAAAGACTGCACCAAGGCAGTGTTGCTCCCAGCACTGTCCCGAGGGGAAGCCCAGTGCTCGAAGACTATCATCTGACTCCTTTATTAAGGCATCTGGCCCATCTTATAACACAGAAGGACCATTAAGTGCCACTCAGAACTCATAAGCCTCTTGGCTATAGCTTTAGATGGATCTTTTTTTCAAGCAAGGCACGCTTTGTTCAGGCTTTTGTTTGTTCCTTAATCGAGCAATAAATAATAACAATGACTGCTGCAGCTCTGTGCTGGGTGTTTTCTGCCAAGCACAGAGTAGAGTTAAAAGCCTAAACTCTGGAGCCTGATGGCTTGGGTTGTCATCCGGTGCCAGCACTTACTAGCTGTGTGACTTTGAGCAAGTGACCACTTCTCTCTGTTACGCTTCCTGCTGAACCCCTTGCTCATTAGGCATTAATTGTGTAAAGCGCAGAGAACAGTGTCTGGCAGGCAGTGCTGTCCCCATCACATCCTAGTGTCCACAGGAACACTCATGGGACACACATTTGCTGAGCATTGGGGACCCAGCCATGGACGAAACACTCTCATTCCTGCCCTCCCAGAGCTCACAGGCTAGAGTGGGAAGACTGGTAGACAGACAGACAGTTAAATTGTAAATGTCAGGTAATGAGGACTGTCAGGAAAAACTGTGAAGATGGGTAGTGGGTGGGGTGGCCTCCTTAGGTAGTTCCTGGGAAGGCTTCCTGATGCAGGGAGGGACAGGACTTGATGTCTGTGGGCGGGCCATCCAGAGCGGGCTGCGGTGAGAGTGCACTTGGTAGTTTGAGAAACGTTGAGGGGACCGTGATGGCTGGAGCAGAGTGTGCAGAGGGCAGGCAGTGGGGGGAGGTGACATCTGAGAGGAGCCCTGTACAGCTTGGCCTTCAGGGCCACTGTGAGGGTTCCAAACATTTGCAAGAGTTTTTAGGACCACCTTTAAAAATATGATGCTTACAAAAGCAAATTTAGATAGGGGTCATTGACCTGTTTGCAGACAGATTCCCTTCTGGCCATGACACCCAGCACGGGGAGAGTATTTTATCCTTGCCCTTTGCCCTCTTCCCTCCCCATTTTCCCTCCAACCAAAGCTTGCATTTTGATAATTGCCTTTAAAACATGCTCTCAGCCTCTCCTTCTCTACCTTTGAAATTATTGTTTCTTTACTGACACTATTTACTTTTGCTTCCCTTCTTAGAGCTTTCATTAGTTTTCTTTCTCTCAATGTCTGCTCTGTCTTACTTGTTCAGAAATGGGATCTGAATTCTCTCTCTCTCTTTTTTTTTTGTCTGTATATTTGGGTGAAAGTTTTTTTTTTTTTTTTTTCCTTGTGATTTGGGTGAAAATTTATAGAGCAAATTCACTTTCCATACAGCAGTTCACATACTCTTTGTCTCATGACATTGACCACAATTCACCCCAATGCAACAGCTCCCCTCCCACTTCCTCCCGACAGTTACCTCTTCTCTGTGTCCATTCCGTCATGCACTCCTGCCCCCTGAGCTGTCTCCCTGTGCATAAATAGCCCTTCTTTCTCCCATGATTGTTCTCTCTAAGGAGTGTATCTACTTCAGGTACATGTTCAACTCCTATGCCTGTCTTTTGTTTACAGGTGTGGGTTCAATTCCAGACCTGAAGGGCAGCTAGGGGCCGTAGTCTCAGTGATTCCACCAGGCTCTATCAGACCAGCAAACCTGGTCTCCCCCTTTTTTTGTTTCCAAATGATTTTGAGTTTTGTTCCACATTGTTCTGCCTCTCTATCCAGGATCTCCTACATAGATCTCCCTCTGAGTGGTTGACAGTGGTAGCTGGGCACCATCTAATTCTTCTGGGCTCATAGTCGTATAGGTTGTGGATCGCATGGTGTACCAGTCGCTAGGATTAATTGTTTCCATGAATTTTTGGTTTTCTTCATTCTTCTTTGGTCTGGATGAGGAGAGACCCATCCTTGCATCTAGATGGCTGCTTGCAAGCTTTTAAGATCCCAGTTGCTACTTGTCAAAGTAGGAGGTGGAGCAATGTTTTGTGTAGTATGTTACGACAATTGAGCTTGATGTCCCCTGTGACTATGGTCTCGAGCCCACAGGTTCAGCTACTCAGTCCCTCTGGGTAGCTGACTGTAACTAAGAAGTGACTACAACCTTGTCCCTTGTCGGCTCTAATATATGCCTGAGAATTATAGAACATACAAATACATTTATAGGACCATTGCCTGTCAACCCTATACATGGTCTTGGGTACACTCCCTGCTTCATGGACATACGTAATAGTTCATCCTGTCCACCCATCTATCCACTGGTATGCCCATGTTTGCCTTCACTGACAATGCAGTACTATATGTGCAAAAGGGTTTATCTTTGTTGTCTGTACCTCTATTTGGGTGAAAGTTTAGAGCAAATTCATTTTCCTTACAAGAGTTTGTACACATTTTGTTTCATGACATTGACTGCAATCCCCACAATGTACAGCTTTCTTCCCACTTCCTCCTTTTGGCTATCATTTCCCTGTGTCCTTCTTTGTTATGCATTCCTGCCTCTGTGCTATCTGCCTGTGTGAACACTGCCCTCTGGTCTCCCATGGCTGAACTGTTTTTGGTATCTCCCTCTGCCCGTCCCCCACTGCTGTGGAGGGACCAGAGTGGTAGGCTGTCTTAGTTTTCTAATGCTGTTGTTACAGAAATACCACAAGTGCATGGCTTTAACAAGCAGATATAATCTGTCTCAGTTAAGGAGCCTAGAAATGTGAGTTCAGGGCATCAGCTCTAGGGGAGGCTTTCTTTCTCTGTCGACTCTGAGGGAAGGTCTTTATCTCCTTGCAACATCTGTAGGCCCGATGTTCCTTAAGATCTCTATCTATTTTAGGGATTGTTCTTTCCCTCTATCTAGGAGGTTCTCAGTGCAGGGCCTCCAGGTCCAGAGGACACACTCTGCTCCCAGCTCTTCCTTTCTGGTGGTAGTCAGGTCACCTCTCTGCTTGCTTCTCTCTTCTTTTTATCTCTTGTAAGATAAAAGGTGATGCGGGCCACACCCCAGGGAAACTCCCCTTACTTGGATCAGGGCTGTGACCTGAGTAAGAGAGTTGCATTCCACCCTAATCCCTTTACAAGGACGATTGGATGGTCACACCAGGTCAAATCATGGGGGATGTGCCAAATTGCTTCATGACATAACTGCCAAACCATTGAGAACTGTGTGTGGCTCAGCCAAGTTGACATATATATGGGGGGGAAACAATTTAACTCATGACGTAGGTGTCCAGTCAGGATTTGTGGGATGATTGAATATTGAACCAATAAGATGCAGATGAAAATCTAGTGATGATAACAGCTTTAGGAATTAGGCCTAGGTTAGGGTATAGGTGGATGTCAGAGAGGAAGGGAGGGTTGACAGGACAAACTGAGTGATTGCATTTGAAGGGTTAGAGAGAAGGAAACTATTCTAAAGCTGCCACATTTCTGGCTGGAGTCCATCTCCTTTGTCTCCCCTGCAGTGGTCCCCCCAGCTCATGGTCATGGGGATGCTGCAAAGAGACTGCCTCTAATCAAGGACACTGAGTAAACATTCTCTGCATGCCCCCTCACCATCTAGTCACCCAAGAAGACCTTGGCCCAGTGATGGTGGTGAGTACCTCATGATCCAGCAGACAATGTTCTCTCTTCTCTCTTTCAAAGCCCTGAACATGAAGGCTTTCCTTAAGTCCATGAAGAAGGTTCTGAGCAACGTGTCGGATGAGGTGCTAGAGACGATATTTTTGAAAGTGGACTCAGACTGTAGTGGCTCTGTCACCTGGGTGAGGAGTGTACCCCTGCTGCCTCAGGCAGCTGAAGGGAGGCTGGTGGGGTCCAGTCCTTGATGTATTGGTTGAGCAAATGGAAGGCTGAAGATGCAGACAGTGGGCCACATCATCAGAAAGCCTTCCTGTGATTTTGGCACAAGCTATAGTACTTGTTGGGGGGAGGGAACCCTTGGTGTCCTTGTGGTGTTCTTCCTGAGGTACTGGACTCATCACAGCTCATTCCCCTTCCTGGGATGCAGAGAAACTATATAAGTGCAAATGGGTCCTGTGTGAAACCTACTGACTGTGCAGTGGTGAGCAAGGGCCGTCCTCACCTACCACACCACTCTCTCCTGTGCGCCAGCCTCCTGTCCACCAGTGGGGTTTGAGCTGGTCCCTCGACAGATGTATAAGTGACCTCTTCTGGCTTTTTGAGGTGAATAGGCAAACCTGTGATTGTTAACCCTGAGTGGTGCGAATGGTCAACGTGCTTGGTTGCTAACCAAAAGGTTAGAGGTTTGAGTCTACCCAGAGGTGGCTTGGAAGAAAGGTCTGGTGATTTACTTCTAAAAAAGCAGCCATTGAAAACACTATGGACCACAGTTCTACTCTGATCCACATAGAGTCACTATGAGGTAGTATCAAGTCAATGGCAACTGGTTTTTTGGTGGTTAGGTGGTTAAAGCCAAAAATATCAGTATAGTAATTAGCTATTGTAATAACATAAATAGTAAATAGTTACTATGTTGTTGTTAGGTGCCATTGAGTCAGCTCTGCTCACAGTGACCCTGTGTACAACAGAATGAAACATTGCCCAGTCCTGTGCCAGCCTCACAATCCTTGCCGTACCTGAGTCCATCATTGTAGCCACTGTGTCAGTCCGTCTCATTGAGGGCCTTCCCCTTTTTCACTGGCTCTTCACTTTACCGAGCATGATATCTTTTTCCAGGGAATGTCTGACAACATGACCAAAGTAGGTGAGATGAAGTCTGGCCACTCTCGCCTCCCAGGAGCATTCCAGCTGCAGCACAGATGTGTTAGCTCTTTTAGCAGTCCACAGTACTCTCAGCATTCTTCTCCAGCACCACAACTCAAAAGCATCAACTCTTCTTTGGTCTTCCTTATTCATTGTCCAGCTCTCATATGCATATGAAGCGATTGAAAATACTGTTTCGGTTACCTAGTGACGCTCTGACAAGAATATACCACAAATGGGATGGTTTTAATGATCAGGAGTTTATTATTCTTACAGTTTGGAGGCTTTAAATCCGAGTTCAAAGTACCAGGCTCCAGGGGCTGGATGAAAGCCCCTCAACCTTGGCTTCAGCTCTGCTTCCTGCTCCCAGCCCACTGAAACTAGAGGCTTTTCTTTACGTAGACAGCTGCTGGCTGCTGAGACCAAAGCCCAAGGTCGACAAGTAAAAAGGCACAATCCTGATGTTACCAAACCACACAGCAGGCCATTAATTCAAGTCCATTGAAAGTCCTAAGGTTGGCAGAGCATGGCAGGCTGCTGAACAACAACATGGCCACATGCAGGGTTCAAGCATGCCATAAACTAGAGACCGTTCCCTAAGGCTTCTCCTTGTATACAGGAAACAGACCATATCCCTAAGGCAGCTTACTCAGTTGCTTGTGGTAGATCCCACCATGGAGTTGATTACCAGTCTCATCATGGGGAATAACTACCTCCAGCTGCCCACCCACTCAACCAGGCAAGTCGACACACAGCTATCACAAATACCATGGCTTGGGTTAGATGTACCTTGGTTTTCAAGGAGACATTTTTGCTTTTCAGCACTTGAAAGAGGTCTTTTGTAGCAGATTTGGTCAGTGCAGTACATTGTTTGATTTCTTGACTGCTGCTTCCGTTGGCGTTGATTGTGGAATCAAGTAAAATGAAATCTTTGACAACTTCAATCTTTTCTCCATTTATCATGATGCAGTTTATTGGTCCAGTTGTGAGGATTTTCATTATCTTTATGTTGAGATGAGATCCATACTGCACACTGTAGTCTTTAATCTTCATCAGTAAGTACTTCAAGTCATCCTTACTTTCTGTGAGCAAAGTTGCATTGTCTGCATATCGCAGGTGGTTAATGAATCTCCTTCCAATCCTGATGCCACATTCTTCTTCATATAGTCTTTATATAGTCTAGCTTCTCGGATTATTTGCTCAGCATACAGATTGAATAAATATGGTGAAAGGACACAACCTGACACATTCCCTTCCTGATTTTAAACCATGCAGTATCCTCTGTTCTGTGTGAACATCAGCCTCCTGGTCTATGTACAGTTCTTCATGAGTACAATTAAGTATTCTGGAATTCCCATTCTTCTCAATGTTATCCATAATTTGTTATGATCCATACAATAGAATGCTTTTGCATAGTCAATAAAACATAAGTAAACATCTTTCTGATATTCTTTGCTTTGAGTCAGGGTCCATCTGACATCAGCAATGATGTCCCTCATTCTACATCCTCTTCTGAATCCAGCTTGTATTTCTGGAAGTTCTCTGTGAATATACTGCTGCAACCATTTTTGAATTATATTCAGCAATATTTTACTTCCTTGTGATATTAATGATATTGTTCGATAATTTCCACATTCTGTGGGATCACCTTTCTTTGGAATGCATACAAATATGGATCTCTTCCAGTCAGTTGGCTAGGTATCTATCTTCCAAAAAACTGGGCATAGACGAGTGAGTTCCGCCAGTATGCCATCTGTTTGTTGAAACATCTTATTGGGTATTCCATCAATTCCTGGAGCCTTGTTCTTTGCCAATTCCTTCAGTGCAGCTTCGACTTCTTCCTTCAGTACCATTGGTTCTTGATCATATGCCACCTCCTGAAATAGATGAACATCAACCAGTTCTTTTTGGTATGGTGACTCTGTGTATTCCTTCCATCTTCTTTTGATGTTACCTGCATCATTCAATATTTTGCCCATAGAATCTTTCAATATTGCAACTCGAGGCTTGGATTTTTTCTTCAGTTCTTTCAGCTTTGAGAAATGCTGAGCATGTTCTTCCCTTTGTTTTTCTAACTCCAAGTCTTTGTACATTTGGTTATAATAATTGACTTTGTCTTCTCAAGCTGCTCTTTGAAATCTTCTGTTCAGCTCTTTTATCTTGTCATTTCTTCCATTTGCTTTAGCTACTCTCCATTCAAGGGCAAGTTTCAGAGTCTCTTCTGACATCCATTGTGGTCTTTTCTTCCTTCCCTGTCTTTTTCATGACCTTTGCTTTCTTCATGGATGAGGTTCTTGATGTTATCCCAAAATTCCTGTGGTTTTCGGTCATCAGTGTTCAATGCATGAAATCTGTTCTTTAAATGATCTCTAAACCTGGGAAGGATATAATCAAGGTCACATTTTGGTGCTCATGGACTTGTTTTAATCATCTTAAGCTTCAGCTTGAACGTGCATATGAGCAGTTGATGGTCTGTTCCAGTCAGCTCCTGGCCTTGCTTTCAAGGATGACTGGAAGATAACGAAAATCCTCACAACTGGACCAAGATATTGAGTTTCTCCATTGTCTCTTTCCACAGATGTAGTCAATCTGATTCCTGTGTACTCCATCTGGAGAGGTCCATGTGTATAGCTGCCATTTATGTTGTTGAAAAGAGGTATTTGCAATGAATAAGTCATTGGTCTTGCAAAATTCTATCATACAATCTCCGCCATCATTTCTATCATGAAGGCCATATTTTCCAACTACCAGTGATTCTTCTTTGTTTCCAACTTTTGCATTCCACTCACCAGTGATAATCAACACATCTTGATTGCATGTTTGGTCAGTTTCAGACTGCAGAAGTTGGTAAAAATCTTCAATTTCCTCATCTTTGGCTTTGGTGGTTGGAGTGTAAATTTGAATAATATTAGTATTAACTAGTCTTCCTTATAGGTGTATGGATGTTATCCATATAGTTACAATAGCACAGTGATGATAATGCATTTATATGTTTCTGATGCTAAATGTTCCACAATGAACATATAACATTTAAACATACAGAAAAGTGCACGAAGTGGTCTGGCATGTTGGTATAGTAATGATGGCCAGAAATGCATTTATGCCAGGCATTGTGCAAGCACTTAAAATATTATTTTACTTAAAACTCACAGGAATCCTATGATGAAGTGGTGTACCCCTATTTGATAGATTGGGAAACTGAGGCATGGAGAAGTTAAAGAAACAGGCCCCAGGAACAAATCTGGGAGTCTGACTCAAGAGCCCATGTTAACTGCCACATTGTATGCCTTCTGGTTTTTGTTTGTTTTAAATTTCATTTCTCTTAAAATTCTATAATAAACATGTTTCCAGCATTCTCTTCCATCTACATGATGGTTCTTTCTAACCAAATCCCATGTTTCTTGTTTCAGCTTCATATGGTAGTTTGTTTTGGTCATGAGACTAGTCAGTTGAGTATTGAGAGGCTCTAGTGGCCCTGGGTTATGGGTCCTCCCCTGCTGTTAACTTGATCTGTGAGCTTGGGCCACTCATATATACATATGTGGGCCTCAGTCTTATTATCTACAAAGTGGGGTGAATAAGAGATTCAAATGAGATCCTGAATGTGGAAGGGATCTGAAGATAATATCTGTGGATATATGCAACATTACAGAAACAGGATATTTTGGTTAGTGCTGCTTTAACAGAAATACCACAGGTGAATGGCTTTAACAAACAGGGATTTATTCTCTTACAGTTTTAGACACTAGAAGTCCCAGTTCAGAGTGCCAATCTCTAGGGGCTAGGTGAAAGCTCCTTGACCTTGGACTTCAGCTCTGCCTCTCGCTTTCGGCCCACTGAAGCTAGAGGCCTTTCTTAACCCAGCTGCTGGCTGCTGAGGCTGACAAACCCAATGTCGACAAGTAAAATGACACAGTCTGAAAATGATCAAACCACATGGCAGGCCACTAATTCAAATCCATTAACAATCCCAGCAGACAACGTGACAGGCCATTGGAATGAAGACTCAGCTACATGCAGGGTCCAAGCGTGCCCCAAAGCCCCAGAGTCCTTTCTTAATGCTTTGTCTTATATACTGGAAACAGACCACATCCCTAAGGCGACTACTCCACTGCTTCAGTGGATTCTGCCATGGAGTTGATTACCAGACTCATCATGGGGAATACCTACATCCAGCTGCCCAGCCTCTCAAAACCAGGTCCAGCCAAGCTGACGCATAACCTTAACTAACACACAGTATAAGGAGTGATGTGCTGCTGTGCTGTGTTCACAGATGCTAGTAAATTGGCCCTTCACATACTGAGGTCAGGAAGAGGTCTGTCATATATTTGCTTCCTTGGCCAGTGCTTAGGAAACAGTTCCCAGAGTCCCTTGGAAGGGGCTGGAGAGAGATAGGGGAAAGACACTGGAAACCAGGCTTGGGTTCTCAAAGCCTCATGCTGAAGCCGTTTTGCCAACATCCTTCCTCCTTTGCCTTTTCCTCCCGAGGCAGCAGAAGTATGTGGATTACATGGTGCGCGAGTACCGGGGAAAGGAGGCGATAAGAAGGAGCCAGTACCGCCTGTACTTCCACCTTCCTATGCGGATCATCCCCCTGTAAGAAGGAGCCTCTTCCCTGGACCTGAAGGGGGCGGGGTATGTCTGAACGGCTGCCGGTGCGAGTCCTGCAGTGAGCACTGTCTTTTCTAAAATCCATGGGCCACTCTTTGTTGGTGCCTTCCTGGTGTCTGGCACTGGGCCTGATGCTTGATACACTTCAGCTCCTTTCTTCCTAAAAACCCTGCAGGTGTTCATGAGGATTAATGTAGGTGAATTGCCCCCATTTTACAGAGGAGGCTCAGCAGGGCCAAATGATTTTTCCAGGCCACTGAGCTAGAAAGTGGTGGTGTCGGTCTGTTTGACCCTCCAGTCCCTGCTCCCTCAGTGTACTACATTGCTCTCCAGCTTCCTCGGGCAACCTGTCTGTCAACTACTGTGTGCACCGTGTGCTGGTGAGTTTGGTGCTTTCATCCACAGGGGCACAGATGGCTGTGTACCTGTGGCACAGTGTTTGCCTGTGAAGTGACAGGGAGTAAGAGCCATTGTAGGAAACTGCTCCTTGAGCCCAGCCAGGCCTTGGAGGCCTCTGCTTTGCTGCTCCTCCTAGAGATACTCGCTGTCTTTGTGTCCGTCTTGATTTCTGTCTAATCCTGCTTGCTTGGTCCTTCTTGCAGTTCCTACTGCACACTGTACCCACTAGACCTTGGTCTCTTTCCCTTTCATTGCCAGTCTGTGTGTTTTCCCCTCCAAACTCTCTGGGGAAGGGGAACACTCAAATGGGTCTGAGCTGCTGTCTCAGAGAAGACCCCCTGCAGCCAGAGCTCCCTTCCTGGACCACACCTTGAGTAGAACCAACTCCTGCCAGGTGTAGGGGCTGGGGCCAGGGAGCTGGGTCCCAGTACAGTGTTGGGTGGTCTACGTTTGTGACATAGGTTAGGAGGGGGCTGTGGGTGTGTCTGTTCTCAGAGGATGATCGCAACAGGAAAGACAAAAAAACTAGAAGGTAGTCCTGCCCTCAATCAGCCTGGGGTTTAATAGAGAAGAGATTTAATTGAAAATTCATGAAAGAATAACTTTT